GGCTCTAATTAAAGTGCCTGCAGCATCTCATATATTCAGTGTCCTGCACTTCAAAATGGCAGTGGGGGTGCTTTAACCAAAGATCGTTCAATGAGCATCCCAACTGCCATTTTGAAGTGCTGGGATGCTAAATACACGAGACACTGAGGCTGCTGGAGCATGCTAATTACTGTGTGTAGGAGCAGACATCCCGCACATCTATAGGAACCCACAGTTCTTAATTACTTTTTTCATTGTTCGGATGTTAAAAGGTTAATTGCTGCTTATAGAAAACGATGATGATAATGTGATTGCTTCAAGCCAGATAATATTTGATAGTTAATATTATGTGGTATAATTAAGCTGTTGAATAGAGTGTTTTTTTGCTAGTAAATTAAGCACCAGTACTAAATTCTCTGTTCATTTGTGTGTATCAGTACTTCACTAGGTTTACACGTAAGGCCTTTATCATCTAGAAATCCGTTTATTTTAGAAATGAGAATCAGTGTTAGTTTCAGATATTATATTCAATTTAAGTGGCCCTGTCAGTTTTTGAGGTTTTGACAGTTACAGTTTGATATTTTAAAATATGTTTTCCCTTTCCCATTATGCTTCATTGAGGACTTGCATGAACAGTACAAGAACCAGTTCAACTAACTGATTATGCAGTGGAAAGACTGTACATTAACTGGCTCTACATTAAGCGTTGTCAAATAAGTGGAGTGAACAGCTTGGAAAAATATTTTCCTCCTAATCTCTTTTATAATCTTAGGTGTTAAGTGTAAAAATAGTAGATAATAAATTGCAGCCAAACGTGTGAATTTTCAGCAGACTGTGCCCCTTTAAGTGCACTGTTAATATATGTGCTTGAGGCTTTAGTGTTATTTTTCAAACATACCAAGTTAAGTCATTCTGGTAACTGCTTGCAGTGCTGTACAGCTTAAGGAAAACAAAATGTATTATTATTTAATTTTCCAGTCATAGTAAAACCTGGTAATGATTTGGATGTTAAAGAGTGGAGCATCCACAATTAATGAGCTTTGTTCTCCCATCGATAATGCTGTCATTAAGTAGTTTGGCAGGCATCTTTTTTGTAAGGGTTCAGCATAATTCTAATTAGAAAAACTCAGTTTCCTTCACTGTCTTTTGTGTAGAGGAGAAATTATTTTCTGGAGTTGATGTTCTGACCAGAATCACCACATGGCACATGGTTTCACCTGTGTCTTATAAATGGAGATGTCCATGTTCAAGCGAGTCCCTCGCTCTAAGAACTGCTATCCTAGTGACTACAGATACTTTCCATTATTTTAGTACAGTGGGTATATACGCAGAAGAGGGCTTGCGGACCTGCCACTCGTAATAATAGGTCTAACGCTAGCTTTAGATTGTTCCCAGATTCCATGTTGGTTGTGTGGGGAGTGGGACAGATGTCACAAACATTGCTATGGTACTGAAGATTATTGGATTAGTATTGAACGTGAGTAGTTTTGTATTATGCTGTTGTTAGTTTTTAACGTTAGGATTCAGTTATTTCTCCTTTTGTCCCAGCTAAGAGAGGTGACTTGCCTAGAATTGTGTTAGGCAGGCACACTGACCAAATTAACACGAAGTTCAAGCTTAAGAGCTCCCTGCATTCATACCTTATTTATGAACATTCACTCTGCTTGTTCCTATATATTATTGGAGTACCCTCAGATCAGCATGTAATAATATTGACTTCCTTCTTCTGTAACAATTCCAGCTTCTTCCATGGCTTCTCACTCTTATCTCATTCCACCATTTCCCTCCTGCCAGGAACTCCCTAAAGGGGCAGAATTGCTCATTATAATATTGGTGATAAGCGCTAATCATAAGGCCATGAATGTGACTGCATCAGATGGATGCAGCCTGTATGCTTTTCTTTAGTGTATGTAACATTTATTTTACAAACTTAGGTAGCCAAAGTTTAATACAATGCTGCTTTCACAACATTGCAACTGTTCTCCAACCTGAGGTGGTCCCTGCATCTTCCCTTTGGTGAGATTTGCCAGTCTCCATTTACCCCCTGCCCTGGTCGTGGTGAGCTTTGGCAACATGCTAGTAGTGACTTTTGAAAATGCACTAATGCCCTCTTGTGGCATCGGATGTTCTGACATGGAGCTGCATGGCCCAAGTTCTTTTAGGCTAGCCATAAGTTTGGGCACCTTTGTTCTGTTTTTGGAACTTGTAGTTTTGTTGTTTTTAACCAAAAATGCCTGTTTGTGTGTGATTGTTACTGCACTTTTCTTCACTCCAGGTAATTTTAGATAAATAATGATCTCTGACACAGTTGAAATTCCTGAATTAATTTCAGTTTTGATTCCGGGTGATCATATTCAGTGTGGTTCCTAAGACTTGGAGAAAAGGAGATCCTTTTTAAGACTTGTTTTTCCCCCTGAAAGTCCAATGCACATATCTGCTTTCTGTTGTCTACGTGGCATTTTCATGTCTTAATCTTTTTTGGTTGGACCCAACAATTGAGGACTCCTTTGTTCTCCTCTACTTTGACCTCAAGCATGAGGATTAGGGGAAACTAAAGTTTGGGGGCAGGGGAGGTCTTTGAGGCAAACAGGCAAAAGAAATATTGCACTAAACCCTTCTAAAAAGTAGTCAGGATGACATATGGGGATCTAAGTTTGTGCCTCCTTGGTTTCAGTATCAGACATGCTTCATTTAGAAGCATAAAGGCTTCTGTTTTGTTTACTTTTAGCCCTGCCAAATGATTTTTGAACTCAGATGATCAAGACAAGTTTAATTTTCATTTACATTAAATTGTATGCTTAGGTACTACTGTGCAGCCATAATGACTCAATACATTGTTTCCCTGAAGCCAGTTCTCCTAGAAAAAGAGTTACAAAACCATACAAGTTTCCATGCAACTAACATCCCTTTCCAAGGGATTTTCCAGAACAGGCATAGAGGAGAGGTTTAGCACCATTGCACTGGTCTAGAAAGTATTTTCCAGGTCTTGAGGTATTTTCCAGGTTTTGATCTAACCCTAACTCCAAAGTTTTGCAAAGAACCACATGCTGGGAGCTACAGTAGTAGGGAGGTAATGTTATCTCTGTTCATGCAGTGGTACCAGTGCTGGAGTTTAAATTCCCTCATTTTCTTAAGATTTCATAGTTTTTCCAGATACAACATGATCTAGAATATAATATATACCCTGTTTTTGAAAGGCAGAATGGAGGAAAAAAGCTTTTTTTTTTTTTTTTTCCTACAGTGATGGCTGCATAGAGTAGGGACAGAACCTAATTTTAGTTAGTTCACCCTCCCTTTCTTGCTTAACAAAAGCTGAAACCCTAGCTGCTCCTGATGTCTAGTTTTTGTGTGTGAATCTGTGATTTTGAAAAAAAAAAAGAAAACCTGAAGAGTTTTCAAAGCTGTGAAATAAAAAGGAGAGAGATCAGGAACAGCTGTCAGACAGCGGAATTGCCCTAACAGTGTTAGTTTGATTAGTGCAACATCAAAGCCATTAAAAAGAAAAGACAATTGTTAACACCTCTGGAGTGCAGAATGGTGAGCTATTAAGTCAATTGACTCCCTCTGTTGTCA